CAAAAACAGCCTCTATAGAAACAGTGGTCTGTCTCAATCTTTCCTTCCTGGTAGGTCCTGCTCGCAGGGCATGCTGCCCTGACAGAGGTCACACTTTAGGGCCCTTCCTCTTCTCCATTCAGACAGAAACACAGATGCGCCCCCAGGACATAACCTGGCGCTCTTACCTTTCCTCCATAAGCCACTAACCATTTCCCTCTCCTCCCCTTGCTCAAGTCTCATTTCCTTTCTTTCAGTTCTAGAATGATGTCAAATGCCTTCTGTGGTTTCTTCTGGAATGTTCTCTAATTTGTTTTCCGACTAACTTCTACCCACCTTTTTGTTTTATTTTTATTAAAGGAGGGTTGCCTTATAAGATTATGTAAGTTTCAGGTACACATCACTGAAAATCAACATGTGTCTGTATTACATCAAGTTTAACACCCCCCGCCCATCACAGCAGAAATAGATCTTTTCAGAGAGGTTCTTGATTTACAAAGTGAAGCATTTTGCAGCGTAGTGCTCTAGCACCTGGTATTTCCTTTCACAGTGTTTGTCATGCTTTGGTTCAAGTGGGGAACTGTTTAGTAGTGGGCATCCCACAGAATGGAAACTCCTGAGAGTCCGTTTATTGCTGTAGCCCCGAACACAGAAATACTTGTGAATGACTGAGACAGAGGCAGAGCTGGTAGTCTGTCCCTGTCTCTGACATTCCCACCTCCGTGCTATAGGAAAAACCTTTTTCCTACCTTTCTTTTCCACCTGAAGTCACTGCCTTAAGCTCTTAAGTTCTTCAGGTTCACGGGAGTGAATCTGCAACACTATCTGTTTCCCTGCAAGGATGGAATTTAAAACACAGAAGCTAAGACAGAAAAGAAAAGAACAGTTCGGCAAGAAAAGAAGCCCCGAACAGAGAATACTGCCCCACGTGGCCACACATGTTCAGTGGCTACAGCAGTCTGTGCCACCAGGCTGGGCTATTCACTGTCTCTAATCTCTTACCTTTAACTAAGATCCTTCCAGTAACTTTGCCTTTAGGCTTCCACATGCATCCACAAATCATTTCTTTGTCAAATGCTGAGTTGCTACCTCTGTAATACCTTAGGGATTTAAAAAAAGAGTTCCGTCCTTATGTTAAAACAAAGTTTTTTCCGTTTTCCACACGAATAACTTCATGAAATCAACATAAACTTACAAGGAAATAGCAGTGGATAGAAGCCATCTGCGTGGCTGTATGTTGTCTGTCACAGTCTTCTCTGACTCAGTTCTTATGACTTAGGAGCCACCGCTGTCTCTTCTTCTTCTTACTAAACTCTGAACATTTTCATCCTTTACTAACAATGCAAGAAGTAGTTGTGTAGGATAGATAAGAAGATGTACAAGAAGCCATCATAAATTTTGCTTTCTCTTAGGGAAAATGTATCTCATAGGAAAGTCCATGTTTTAAGAGTTTGCTAAAGAAAGAACCATTGATATGAAGTAAGTTTCAAGTGGGTTTAAATCATGCATTAATCATTCAAAAACATTAAATTGCAATGATGATTCTGTGGTCAAGGTGACATGTTTGTTCTGTGGCCTTTAAAGCCACACAAAGGCTGTTAATGATAATTTTTGACCATGTAGGCAATTAGCCACATAATTACTTTGAATAGGATAAGTTATGTCTTTCTTGATTTTAATTAATATCTGTACAATTTCCCACAAATATATTTACTGGGGAGGTATTTATGAAAGGGAGGGGTAGCATGGGTTGGGGTGAGGTCACTTCATGGATAAACTCTGGGGGATTAGTGGGCTTATAATGGCCATTCTTGCCCACCCAGCACCCATTTAAACCTCCCAACCGGGCCCCAATTTTTGTGCATGTATCTACCCGCCTTTCTTAGCCAGCGTACTTAAGGAGAGCCAGTCCACTCAGACACCAGCAGTGGGCCTTGTTTTCCAGAGCGATATCCACATCCTTTCCACTAAACAGGTCTGGAACATAGCTCCATGTGCTATGTGGGCTGATTCAGGAATGGGCCAATGAAACACTGAGAGGGTATTTTCTGAGAGCTTCTAGGAAGAACTTGCTCATAACTGACAGCTTCCAGAAGTCATGGTCTCTCTGCATCTAGACATTGTTTGTGTAGATGAGGCATTAGTCCGTGGTAGCCATTTTGCTGGCAGCCCGAGAATGAAGCCTGCAAAACAGGACGTGACTGAGAAGCAGAACAGGAGCCAAATGGGTCCACAACTGACCTTTGCCCTTTCCAGTCCTTATCAGTCTGCTAGCCAATGAATAACGCTGAGTTTATGCAATTTTTACCTACACTTTCTGTTTCTAGAAGTCTAAGCAAATCTTTAAAATTTATACTTAATATATATATGCTTATATATATATATATATATATTTATTTATACATACAGAACTGGGGTACAAGCCAGAGGTGCAGGGGTGGTGAGAGGATCACCAGAGACAGAATGAGGGAGCAGAACAGGCTGATCCACGAAGTACACTGCTGAGGGGAGCGTGAGTGGGTCAAGAGAGGTCTGGTGCGCCATGTGGGTTACCTCTGGGGCTAGGGATCGAACTCACACTGAAGCAGCTGTGGCCAGCTTGAGTGCTGTGTCCTCACCCGTTGAACCACCAGGGAGGGTCCTATATTTTTACAGATATAGTGGGTCAATGGTTGCTGATAATGTCAGCCCTCACTGCTACATTCCAGGACAAATCACTAAACATTTTAAGTCAATCACTTTTTACAAAGGTTTTTAAATGTAATATAACAATGTCTTATACAGGCCATGAACTAAGCAAGTTAACAGAATGTTCATGTGGTTTCCCTCCAGAGGTAATGTTTCTTCTTATCTATGACAAGTTGCACCCTGTCAGTGACAGCTTTGGCCCAACCATTATTGGATTTTTAACTGATCACAGTAAAAAAAAAAGTTAGATGATCATTTATTTTGGCAGTACACATGTGAGCGCTTAGTGTTCACCAGTGTGCTGGTAAAACCATGCAACAGGACCTTACGAGAATGGATGTTACATGGCTCTGATGACATCAGTCTCTTCAGTTCTAAGTGTCTTCTACGTTCCATTATGATATTCTAACCCATGAGTTGTTAGGAAGTGTAGTGGTTTACAAGATGTCTCGTGATTATTGATTTCTAACTTAATACACAGTGGTCAGAGAATGTGGTTGCTATGCTACCCATTGTCAGACATGTAGACAGATGCAGTAGGTTCCACATTTGTAAATGTTTTACATATTCTTGAAAGAAATGTCTATTTTTCAGTCATTGAATGCAAAGTCATTCATGAAGCTGTTAATCAGGCTTCATAATTGTGTTATTCAAATCTTCTAGTCTTCTGAAAGGTTTGGTTCCCCTTGATCTGTGTATCTAGTTTCTTGCGGCTGTTGTAACAAATTACCACAAATAGGATGACTTAAAACAACAGGAAGTAGTCTCTCACAGTTCTGGAAGCCCAAATCTGAAATCAAGGCATCAGTACGGTTGCATTCTCCCTGGTGGCTGGGTGGGGAAAGCCCATTCTTTCTCTTTCAGCTTTGAGAGGTGGCATCATCCCAACTTCTGCCTGTGGGTTACACCACCTCTCCCTCTTCTCTCTCTATGCCTCTTCTCTCTGTTTCATCTCCCCCTGCCTTTTTCTGAGGACGGTTGTCAGTTGGCTTATGTCCACCTGCATAACCCAAGGTCATTTCACTATAATAGCTAAGTTGCAAAGCAACACAGGTTTCAGGGATTAGTTCAGGGACACAGCTTTTTGGGGGTTACAATTCAACCCATTGCAATCTATAATATTGATACCTGTGGAAAAGCACCTACTCTGATGGTAGATTTTTTTCTTTTTGTTCCTTTATCAATTTGTGCTTCACCTATTTTGTGACCATGCTATTAGAGATACATGTATGTATCTTCCTTGTGGATTTTTTATTATGTAGAAACAGATATATCCTACCGAGAAAGTTAATTAGTTGTCTGGAAGACTATGTAATATTTTCGTTCTTTCAGCCCTACTGTGTTGGCCATTTTAAGGTTACAGTAGCCTTCCCTTTTTTCTTTCTTGGTATTCCCCCCAAAATTCCAGGACCAGTTTCGGGTCCAGTGAGTAATAAATAAATAAAAAAGTGTATACACCATTAATTTATAGGAGGGAGAGCTGTCTGAAATGATTCTAAATGATTGTTAACAACATTTTATTTAGTGCGGAATATATTGGGGAAATATATATATATAGACAAGCTAAAGCAAATGTGACACTGAAGTAGATCGGAGACACAATTTCTCAGGGACTGAAGGAATTCTTCCTCCTACCTCCCCCCACTAAGTACATCTCTACGGAAATACTTGTTATCTACTAGCTTAATATAATAATGGATTTTTCTAGGCAACTTCCTTATCATCAGTACCTAGAATAAGTAGTAAACGATAACATCATATACTCATATAATATACTGCTACTGTTATAATTTGAGAAGGCAAATCTGCTCCCCGGAGTGAAAGAAATTAGAGCTCATAATCTTCAACACCCAAGACTCTCACAGGTGTTTGTAAAACAGATTTGTAAAACAGTGCACTTGGCATTTCTTAGTTTAAAATTTCTGGTCTCAGTGTGTGGCGGCGTTCAGGAACTTTTATCTCAAATGCACTATTCTTTATTTTTTAAGCTAATCAGCTATGTTTCGGTTTCTATTCTCGTATTTCTGGGTTTCGATCCAGCTGGCTGAGGCTCACGGTCAGTGGCATCAAGGGCCGCCTGGGGCCATTCCCACCCATTTAGTGCGACCCAAGCCCTCTGGTGACCCCTTAGTTCTCAAGCAAAGGCCCGGCTTCCAGGACCTCTGCAGCGCGGGGGTTCAAATCCCAGCGAACGCGAGCAAAAAACCGCAAGAGGACCCAGAGCCACCGCAAGGGCGGGTCGCGCGCCGCACGCATCTTCAGCACCCGACAGGGTTCCCTGTTGTCTTGGTAACCATCGAACACGCATGCGCCGACAAACTCCCTTGTCACGTGAAGCCGAGCCGGGGGCGGGGCCGCGACGGAAGCTCCGGACCCGTCGCCCACCAGTCTCGGCGCGGGGTCGTCAAAGGCCTGGCGAACCCCTGCCCTATCGCGTCCGGGCGACCCACAGCTCCCGCCCCTTTTCTCTGGGCTTTCTGGAGCGTCGCTCCTCGCACCACGTGCCCTTCTGGCCACGCCCCCAGCTGCCCTTTCCAACTGCCTGTTGGAAGCTGCCGTAAAATGTCGTGAGCGGCGCTGCCGCTTTACGGCTGCCTCTCCCAGACCAGAGCCCGGGAGCGCCCACCGCCGTCAGCCCGGTCGCCAGGAGCCAGCCCCGCGGCGAGCGAGCGACCCGGCGCGCCCGCGCTCTCCCTGCCGCGCCCGCCCCGCCCCGGCGATGTGAGCTCGAGGAGGCCGCCGTGCCCCTGGCCCGGGGTTGAGACGGGCGGCAGGTGCCAGTGAGGCGGGCGGGTGCGGGGGCCTGCAGGATGGAGGAAAGCATGGAAGAGGAGGAGTGGTGCAGCTACGAGGCGATGATGGACGACCAGAACCACAACAACTGGGAGGCCGCCGTGGACGGCTTCCGGCAGCCCCCGCCACCCCCGCCGCCCCCCTCGTCGATCCCAGCCCCGGCCCGAGAGCCGCCGGGGGGGCAGCTGCTGGCGGTGCCCGCGGTGGCCGTGGACAGGAAAGGCCCCAAGGAGGGGCTGGCGATGGGGCCGCCGCCGGAGGCCAACGGGGTGATCATGATGTTGAAGAGCTGCGACGCGGCCGCCGCCGTGGCCAAGGCGGCCCCCGCCCCCACCCCCAGCTCCACCATCAACATCAACACCTCCACCTCCAAGTTCTGTGAGTGCAGCCTGCCCCCGGCGGCCCCGGCTTTCTCCTCCCCACCCCCTCGGAGCGGCCCCGCTTCCTTTGTTTCAGGCCTGGGTCTCCGCGCCGCTCCCCACCTCGCTCCCCGCCCCTGGTTTAGTGCCGGCGGCTGGCGCCTGGCTTCTTGTATTACCTGGCCTGGAGGAGCCGCCGGGGGCGCCGCCGCCCCGAGTTCGCCCAGCGCGATCCTTATCGCTCCTGGCCGTCGCTCGAGGTGGGGAAGCGCTTTTCTTCTCTGTCCTCCCTCCTCCCCCCACCCCCGTAAAGTTTCACTTGCCGACGGGGAGGGCAAAATAAAGCCGCCCGAGTTTCGAGGCCATTTAGTTTTTTTTTTTTTTTTTTGCATCCAGAGAAAAGAAATCTGGCAACTCTCGCTTTTAGCTTGTCTGCGCTAAACAAGTCGGGAATTGGAAAGTTGACCTAAATCGACAGCTGCTGCTCTTGCCCGCCGCCACTGTACAGCTTCTGCGTTCTGATAGGGAAGCGTCTGAGTTGTCTTTTGAGTCACGCGATGCAGCGGGAGCTGCCACATCCCTTTTGAAGCTAATAATGTATAAGATTCCTTTCCAAAGCTTCCAGTCGCGAATAAGCTGTTAAGCGTGCTACAGATTCCCGATTCTGTTGAATGTTGAACTTTCTGTGAGTAGTCTGCCTGCAGGCGCCGTTGCAGGCAGAAGGATTAAAGACCAGAATCAGTTTTGTAATCTGAAACTGACCCAACCAGGATGTCTGTTTGCTTCCACCTAGGACCTGAACAACGCGCTTTTGCTGGGAGTGGGTTCTTTTGGAGGTGGTGGTGGAGAAAATTGACCGTCACAGCCTGATTTTTCTCTCCTATTAATAACTGCAAGTTTTGAATAATGGCATTTGGTAAAGCAACTGGCGATTGCATTCCCAGTTACTAATTTTATCCGGCGGTACCAGTAATTGTCCAATTAGCTGTGCATAGAAAACTTGCCTTGATTCAGATGTATAGTCACAGCCTTACAGATATTCTCGTGTGTGGGAACAGAGCTTTAGATTTATTTGCCTTCAAGATGCTGCTTTAGTAAAAGAATATGTAGCTATGGTGGGTAAAATTTACGTGTCAGTTTTACCATATTATGCATGCGTTAAGAGCAGTGTTTATGTAATGTACTTTGTATATTGAAGTTTATGTGGTGAAATCAGACTTTGGACATAGTGGCAGGGTGAGTAGATGCTGAAGTTAGTTTAGTTTAGTGTCTAAGTGTAGTTCTCTTGGAAAATTTAAAAACACCATAAAACTAAGAGCAGATATGTGAACTTAGTACCAAAGAAAAGACTTACCAAACCAGAAGATTGTTCTGTGAAGATTTGTGAGCTAGACAGAACTCTGGTAACACTGATCAAGAAAAAACAAATTCAGTGTGAAAAATGAAAATTTTAAGAATTTTATGAATTACTCTAGGTCAATAAATTTGAAAGCCTAGAGGAAATGTATAAATTCTCAAAAATGAAATAAAGTTGTTTTCAGAAGAAATGGATAACAAATTCATGAATTAAAGAATATTTAGTAGACTGACCTTTAAGGAGAAAACTTTGAAACTTTAATATGGAACTGAGGAGGGCCTAATAAAAAATAGTTCCCTAGCTCTTGGGAAAGATAACTTATAAGAATGTTAGTTTTCTCCATTTTGCTTTATCGCATTTCTAGTTTGACAAACTCAATAACCTAAGGTGGGATAAAGTTTATGAATAGTTAAGTCAATCTTAAAGATTTGTTTTGGTGGAGTCTTTCTTATCAGAAAGAGCCTGTTCCAACGTTGTAGTAAGATGGTAGTATAAATGTAAGACAGAAAAGTAGACTTGGGGAACAGATTAGCAGAGACTGACTTACCTGTGTAGGGTCAGGTAAATAAACTGAAGGTTGCATCATCAATCAATGGGCAGATGAGTCATGTTTAGGGAGTGTGTTACTATTTGGAAGAAAAACCTACTACCACAGAAAGGATGAGCCTTAGATAAGTTAAAGACCTCAATGTGGCAGGAAAAACTAAGAAGTTAATGGAAGGCCTCATTGAAGTCCTTTCCCTAGAGACTTGGAAGAACATCTTAAAGCTTCAAACACTGACAAAAAATGAAAAATAACAACTTTGGATATATGCAAATTGAAGATTTTCATTTAGCAAAAGACAGATGAAAGAGGAGATACTTGCAGTGACTAAAGTTGACGAGGATTAATATCTAGACTAGAGAAGGACCTACAGGGTAATTAAAAGGATAAGAAGTAGTTTGTGGAGAAAAATAGGCTGAGGATATTAACTAGTGTACTGGTTGGAAGTCTAACAAGCATAGAAAGAGGTGTTTGAAATTATTAGAGACCTGCAGATTAAACAGCAGTAGTGTTCTCCCCCTTCTGTTAGGTTGGCAAAAAGTAGAAATCTGTATGGTAACAAATGTGGGGCCATGGGGAGATAGAACAGCGTAGTGGTGGGTGTGTGAGGTGCTAGATTGCTCCAGCTCTCTGTGGGCTAGATAAAACGTGTGGCAGCTGAAGAGCTGGAGGCTGGGCTGTGACAGCGAAGGCTCACCTCAGGGCTGTCAGAGGAAGAGACTTCTGGTGGGCTGCTGTTGGCAAAGACTTGAAAAGCACTTGTTGGCGTGATGGACGCACTCTGGGTGCCAGGGAATGCGTGGATTTGTCCTGGTAGAGACCCTACAGGAGCCACAGCCACGGTTGCAGTCTCCACTTGAACTTGACTTGCTGGTCATCCCGTTACTCTTCTAGCCCTGTCTCCTCTTTGTTGGCCAGATAGGCTAGTAAAACTGAAACCAGGATGTTACGACAGTCACCATCTCTGTATCTTTCAGGTCTTTGAAGTTGCTGTCTTCCTCTGCAGTTTCCAAAGGGGTGTGCTGTTGCCTGGGGTTTATTATTTTGGTAGGAAGGGGCAGATCTAGAGGGAATTTTAACTATTAGCCCTTATTTCATAGTTGATAGCACCTTTAGTTGTATTTTCAGTAAAAGCAGGTTGGAGAATTCATGGGGTGGGACCTGGAATCCCCTGGGCCTGGTGTGCGAGGGACCAAGGCCAGTACACCGTTAATCACTGTAACACCACAGCTCCTGATCTCAGTGGGTTGGCAGTGACATTTTGGTCCCTGACGGTTAACACTGGCTTAGAGCCAGTATTGAGCAACTCTTGAAAAGCCCAAGTGATGCTCTTTCTCAAATGCACAATCTTCTCGACAAGTAGTTGTGTGTTCTGTGGGAAAAGACTAGGAGGAGGACATTTAAGTTTGCTCTTAATGCAACTTTATTGACTCTCTCCTCAGTGGAACCCATCCCTTCCTTTACCAGAGGCTCTGCGTGTGTCACCAGGCTCAGTCTGGGCAGCAGGGGAGGTGCCATCGCACGCCACGGTGGCCATTTCAGGCAGACCAGGGCTTGCTGTTCCTACTTCCCCCCTTTCCATTATACAGACTGGGCGATACCTGCCGTGTGTTCCTAAAGACACCGGGGTGAGCCAGCACCGGAGAGCCCCACTCAGACTGCCGCAGTAGCCACCCACTTTGTAGCTGAGGGTTGTCTCTGGGGAGTGTCACCGGGAATCTTATTATCCTTTAGAGAGTAGGGGGCCCCCTTTAATGGCAGTATTGCCCATCTTTAACCCAGAATGAAAAAAGGAGAGCCACAACAGCACTTTTCAAGGATAATTTTGCATTCTTCACCAATGTTCTTCTCAATTCCTTAATGACGGGGCTCCTCAGAGACAGAGACAGAGTTGGAGATTTTAAAAATAACATCCCTGTCTATAGGTCTGGACTCAATTCTTCTACATACTAAGGAATTTTTGATGTCCTGACTTCTCATTTCTTCTTCCTCATTTCCTTGTTCTTCCTCTTTTCATTTCCTTTTTTCTCCTACACCTTTCCTCCTTACTCCTCATTTATATTCAGTAAAGTGTACCCATTTTAGATATGTAGATAACTGAGTTTTGATTCATGCCACTGGTTTGGGTAAGCTAAAAGCCCATCACTGTTATTAACTGGACGCTGGAAGAGGCTAGAAGACTCGTGCTCCAGAGAACACACAGTCGTGTCCTCAGTATAGCTAACAGCATGCACATCACCATATTTGTGTAGCTCCCCTTAGCCCCAAGAAACTGGGGGGCCGTACATTGTGGTGGAGGTAGATGCACCCTCAATGGGCTTGTGTTGCAGTGGAAGAGTCTTAAACTCAGGGGATTCACTTCTGCCCTAGGGAGCCAGGGGAAGTCACTACTTTGTCCTTTCCAGGTTGTCAGCTGCAAAGTGGCCCAGGTCAAGAGCAGCTGGTCAGATCCTGGGGGTCTTGCACAGCATGACATGAAGGAGTCCAGGGGCTCCAAGAGGACTCTCCAAAGGCCACCTCTGCAGTTGAGAGGACATTTCTACCACAGATGTGCTGCTTGGGGATGTTTTTCAGCCAGTACCCCGATCCCTGACCCCAGACACCACTGATGTTCTCTGTTGTACAGGTGTTTGTGTAAATGGAGTCATACAGTCTGTTTGTTCTGGCACCCTGTTGTTGCATGTATGAGCTGTGCCTTTTTGGCTTGAGTTTTATTTTTGATATGAATTTACTTTATAAATTCATAAAACTCATTTTATGAACTATCTGTTCATTGGTTGATGATTACTTGGATTGCCTCCAACTTTGACTGTGATGAGTAAAGCTGCTGTCAGAAATGCACACAATTTTATGCTGATGAGGATTTTCACATAATACCTGTCATCATTGGGTACTACCTGTGTGTCTGTGAGTGACTCAAGCTTTTCCACAGCCATCTCTGCCAGTGCAGTGCGAGAAGACCAGTGCAGTTGCTCCATGAATTTACTGAAAACTTCTCGCCACTAGGCTTCCAGTTCTTGACATTGCTAGTCCTTCTAGAGGGTGAGTAGTGGTATCTCAGTGTAGTTTTTTTCCCCACAAGTTTCCTCTTACACATGACTTCAAGCTTACTGGCTTT